CCGGTTGAAAAAGAGAGCCGCCACCAAACTAGCAGCTAGCAGCTGTTTCCCAGCTTAGTGCGGGACGGTGATTTACGAGAGGAAGTGCCTCGTGGTTCATCTTTGACTCGAGCTGTCTGTAAGGGCCAAGACTAATAGGTGCTCTGCTGGGAGTGTACAGCCACCACAGAGACGCATACAAACACATGAGGGGGGGGTCGGGGGGGGGGCTACAGCGATGTCAGAGGGTGGAGCAATTCCTCAAATGAAGCATCAGGTTTTCAGGAAAGTAGGAACTTTTAGTGCAACAAATTCAAGGCGATCATTGGTGTTGTTGCTTTAAAAGCTGCCATATTGACCCCAAATGACACTCGGCTGCTCACTTTTATAGCAATGTGGAAGCTCATGATAACACAAATAATGACATCTCCTCCATTTATATATGTAAGAATTATGAAGGAAACTACTGAGATCATTGCAACCTTTTTGACGGCTTCATTATTTAAGCACGTTGAGAGCTCGCCACAAGCTCAAACGGCCCTGAAAATCACAGAGACTGGGGACTTACTTTGCATTTCTACTTTTAAATTTGTACCTGAACACATGACAGACATTGCAGCTAGCAGCCAGCTGACCTGCACACACACACCTTTATATATACAGTCTATGACACGCACACACACTCTTTGCCAGCATTAGAGGAATTGCCAGCCTGTGTGGTCTGTATTTGAAATCCAAAAAAACAACAGTGTTTAGGGATGATAAAATCCAGCCTGCCACTTAACAGGCTATCTTTAAACCATCTCGTTATGTGTCTGATGGCTAGCGCTTTTAATTTAAGCTTTGCACTGGTGAAGTCATCAAAAGGGGTTGTGGTAGACGACAAATAACATGATTGAAAGCACAGAGCATTGAACGCAGCCACTACAAATTGTGCAGGGCCTATGAGGTCCTGCAGAGGAAATACAAGGCTAAGGAATTTCACTATTTCCTTCAGCAAGCCTTATCTTGTCTTGTTAATAATCATCTTACTGTCAAGTGTAAGATCAACAATCAAACTTAAATTAACATCCATGGGATATGGGTTCATTTCTGCTTATGCTCCTCTCATCCAGTGCTAATGACCTTTCCTAAAGTTAGCGCTGGCGGCAGTCGTGGACAGGGGGAAATGCAGCAGCAGATTTACAGTCTTTAGGGTGGAGGGGGCGAAACTAGGATGGACATACTTCCCTAAATTAATACTCGTTCGCCAAACCTAAACTTAACCCAACCCTTCCTCTGTCCCTCCCTTCAGCACGTCTCCTCTCTCTCTCTCTCTCTCTCTCTGTCTCTATTTTGGCTCATTCACAACAGGGGGAGTGAGAGCTATTGAAGCAATTCTGGGCTCATCCCAGGAGAGCGAGACGGGCCTGTTGAAGGATGAATCCTCCCGAGCTTTTGAGTCGGGACATGTTTTGTGTCAGAAAATAACTTGAAATGCCCTCTGTTCAGCCTTGGGCCTGAATATATAGAGAGAGGATGTCCAGAAATACAAAGTCTCCCCCTCAACTCCTTTCTGTTTGCCTCTTGGTAAAAGCCTGGTCTGTGTTTTGAATTAGTTTCAGCCGTGGAGGGGAGCTCCTCCCCCCCGGTAATGTCTTCTGCAGGGGGGCGGGCCCGGAGAGAGGCAGCATGTTGTGTTATTTTTGGCCGGCTGCTCTGGGGGCTTTGTAAGAAAGCTGGGGGAAATTCTCAGCATGGCGGTATCCATGTGGGGAGCAGGATATAATAGGGGATCGCTTCAGCAGACAGACGGACAAACACACACCAGATCGTGCTCGTATAACTCTGGCAAATAATTTTTTGCATTGGTTAGAGGGCCAGGTTTTGACACGGGACACATATTTTGTCAATTTAATAAAGGGTGAGGGAAAATGATGTTAGGATTTACTTGGGGGATATGTTACCTGACAAGAAACCATGGTAAAACTGCAATTTATATAGTTGATGCAGTTCAGTGAGCAGAAACAATGTTGATTTTGTTTTGACAACCATAGTATAACACCTGTTTGAAGCATAAGGAGGGATGGAGGGAGTCTCAAAATCTAATATTTGTTCTCACATCAATAGGTTGACATGTGTGGTTTTGAGTGACGTTTAAAAAAAAGTTAGAGAGATTGCTCTAAAATGTTGTGCACACTTTCATGTCCCTCCCAGGATGAATTGAAATCACTTTGTTGATCCCTTATTTTTTCCATAATTCCAATAATTGGGTTTATTGAAATCCCCCTTAGCTGTGGTAACAGCTTCTCTTACTGGGGTCTTAAAAAGGTTTAAACAAAATAAAAAGATAATTACTGACATCTATATGAGACTTAACTTTACGCACAAGAACATTAACACAACACGATAATGCAGATCCTGTCTATAGGCTACACCAGATGGCTCTAGACAACGTATTTTTATTTAAAAGGCCACACGCCTACTCTAATTACAAATAAATAATGATAGATAGCTCTGTACATGAATATCACACCATTAAGCACATGTTAGCATGCTAACAGGCTCAACTGAGATGATGGATATGTTGAACACGCTAGCAATGCCATTGTGATCGTATGGCCATGCTAGTGTTAGCATTTAGCTGAAATCACTGTGCCTAAGTACAGCCTTCACAGAGCCATTAGCATTGCTCTGGACTCTAGTTTCATCATACTGTACATTGCGAGCAATCTAGGGGTTCAGTTTCTTGCTCAAGGACACTTCAACATGTGTTCAGGGAACATGGGTTTGAAACACCAACCTACTTTGCTAACTGAGATACAGCCAACATGTATTTATTTTAGTATTTCCAGTAAAAGTTGAGCACAACCGGGAACATTTGAGTACAGCGAATATCAAATTTCACTCAGGTTGATTTTCTTTCCCTTTTTATGGGGTGAAATCACATCAGTTCAGGGAAAAAAGAAAGCTTATAAATCTTATTGCTGCTGGCAGATGTTGACGAGGTAAAATAAAGCCAAACCTTTATGGTGGACAAGCTTGTGGACCCTTGATACAAGTTTATATTGCATTATTGACCCATGGTGCTCAAAGCATAGTTAAACAAATGCAGACAGAAACAGATCTTTTTCTTTTCAACAAAATAGGCTAACATTGAGTTAAGAAAGGTGTTGTGAGGACAGCATATTATCTAATCTATTCTCGGTAGATTGTGAAACTTTAAACCCTCCAAGAGATAAAAACAGTTATTCTTCTCACACACAAACACTAGCATCATTTTTCATTGGGTCCAACACATCTTGAATATCTCACCCGTAGGCCAACACATAACCAGGATGACATGATGAGACAGGGGTCCTATCAGCTGGTACACCCCCGACCCCCCACAGAGGCTGACCCCCAGTGTGCTGGTCTGAAATCTGTCTGTCTGAGCGCTACACGGCTGCGAACCGACTGTCTAGTGTCTGGCCAAGGTTTGAGTTGGAGCGGAGCCCTGACAGGCTTTAGCGGAAAGGGGACAGGATACTGTTCTCACAAACACACACACCGACCGACAGGCGGGAGAGGTGGAAAAGAGAGAAGGGAAGGAGGAATGTGTAAAAAGTGAATTTGAGGGAAGGAGGACAGGTTGTTGGGGGTGAGGACGAGGACGAGGAGAGGCCAAAAAAAGGCGAAACTGCAAAAAATGTGTGTGTGCAGATTGCTGGCTTCATGATATCAAGTCAAGCCACCAGCTTGATCTCAAGCATGATAAATAATTATCTAACCTGTCAAACAATGTCTGTATAGAAGTGGATTCAACAGTTGAAGGTTTTATATATTCGATAGTTGTTGATTTTAGAGCTGAAAGGATTAGTCAAATACACCTTATTTCCTTTCGGGGTTAGGGGTGTAAGAAAATAAGGATTACTTTCATTCTGGGAAAATGTTAATTCCTTTGTTCAGACAACACATGTATTGCTGTGGTGTTTAATGGTAAAGGGTTTAATGAATGCAACTGCCGATCTGTTCCGATTGTATGAAAAAGTTGTATTTCTTTACTCAGATTGGATGCTTATAGGTGGTGTGTTTTCTATACTATAAGAGTGTAATATCTATAATATGTTGTATTTCAACCACTTTTGGGTTTATTAAAAATATATACTTTGAGTTTTCATCTCATAAATGCAAACGTATGGAGTCTTATTCATCAGTCTTGTGATACATTTGGCTTTTATTAAGGTTATAATGTTCAGTTTAAAGTGTGTTAGAGAGGTGTTCAACTATAGGATCATTTTGGAGGCTGCAGTTTGTGCTGCCATTGGATATACCAAGGTGTTTCTAATATGTTGTCCATACCACTTATATAAACCACGGATATCCTAATGTATGTGTCCTTGCTACAGTGTTTTCTTCTTGCCTGTTGCAGATGTTTTATGGCAGATGTTGTTTATAAAAGTTTAACTCGCACACAGGGATCCAAATGTGGATCAAGTGGCTTGAAAACGGGGCTCAAGCTTCCTGTTTTTCCCAATCAGAGCTTCGTCAAGGCTTCCTGTTTTTGTTTGTCCAATCATGGTGTCCTTTCGCAATAACTATTTGTTTGACGTATCCAATCTGAGAGAAGCTTTTGACCGGCATCCTGTGTTTGTTTGTGTCCTCAGAACACCACAGACAGCTCATCCAACTCCTCCCAGAAACTGGAGAGCTCGCTGCCGCCGCTCGAGTCCTCGCCCCTTCCGCAGAGACACAAGTGCATGCTGGGACATCGCCACGACCTCCACGACCCCTACCGGCTCACAGACCACTACTTCATGGACCAGGTGAGACATCCAGTAGCATCGAAGAGTGATGCAAAGAGAGTCAAATTAAATTGTTTAGCTATTTATTTACACTCAATATATAGGTATTTACCAGTTACAAGAACAAACAGTATGAGTTTTTACAGCCAGCTGTGTTGTGTAACATTCATTCTGTCTTTCTCCTCAGCCGTTGTCTCGGCTTCCCCGTCATGTCACCTTCCAGGAAGACGAGGAAATCGTCCGCATCAATCCTCGGGAGCGGAGCTGGGAACGAACCACCGAGCGCCACTATGGACGCCCGTCGGACCGCCCCTCTTTCACGGGCTACGAGGACTACCGACACGCCACGGTGCGGGACAAGTTCATCCAAATGGAAGACTCTGAGTCGTACGTCCACTTTGCCAAGACAGAGTCGCAGAAGCACGACTACACCTACCCTCTGGCCCCCACCCTGTCGCCCTCAGACTCTGACCCCGCTCTCGGACCCTTGGTCAATAAGGGCCAGGGCGGCTCGTACCGCCAGGGCTTCTCCTCGGTGGTCTCCGTCCAGCCTCGATCCTTCCTCCCGAGCTCCTCATCGTCCACAAATGGCGGGAAGGGGCGAAAAGAGGACGGGTTGGAGCGTGCTCAGTGTGAGCATTGCGGCGAGGCTTTTTACATCACCGACAACCGGAGAGGTCGGTGCCACGATGCGCCGGACCCTGTGCAGGGGTGCATCCGGAGGGTCAGCTGCATGTGGCTGGCAGACACCATGCTCTACCACTGCATGTCAGACCCAGAGGGGGACTACTCGGACCCCTGCTCCTGTGACGGGGGTGAGGGCGGAGGCGGAGGCCGATTTGGCTCTCGCTGGTTAGCGCTGCTCGGTTTATCTCTGGTGGCGCCGTGCCTATGTCTCTACCCGCCGCTCCACGCGTGTCACCGGGCGGGGCTGAGGTGCGGCTGCTGCGGAGGCCGACACAAAGCCCTGAGCTGAGGAGAGGAACAATGACAAAAACCTAAAAACCCAACGCAAGCACAGGGAAAGGGAAGGATGGGGATGGGGATGGGGATGGACACGGAGGGGACAAAGTGGCTGCTCACTCTCTTGCCTTGGTTTCTCTGGGATTCTCTACAAATTCCAGACACTGAAATAAGCCAAATATAAAAACAGTTGGTGCATTTTCTGAACGGCCTGGGAAGATAAGCTCCCCCTTACGGCAGACAGTTCTCTCAGCTCTCCACGTGGCCATTTCATGCTCTGTTTCTAGAGAGAGAGCACTCTTTTTCAGGGGGCCTTTTTTTTTTATAGCTGACCTATATGTCATGTATCACATATGCAGGTACTTTATACTTTGTACACTGACTCGGCGTCAAAGAACTTGAATTGTTTCTTTGTTCTTTTTTTTCATTCTCCTTTGATGTACGCGTGGCCATTTTGTTTATATTCTATTCCAATATCAGGCCCGCTCAACTCCAGCTACAAGAGAATCAGACACTACACCTCTTTGTGTGTGTGTGAGTGTGTGAATGTGTGTGTGTGTGGATGGTATTTGTGCGAGCTAACAATGCGCACCGAGGCCTTTTGTTGTCTATACTGCAGCTTATCGTAAAGCTCATGTATATAGTCTACATAGCTCTCCACCGTCGACATCTTCTTTGTTCGCCGAAACAAACGTGGTACTCATCTTAATCTTCTAATATCCCAAAGATTCTTTTTTTTATCCTATTTATTTCTCACTGAATTGATCTACCAGCAAAAAGGGTGCTGGGTTGTGATTCACTCAACTAACGAGACAGTGCTTTAAATCAAGCTAGCATTCGTCTCACGTTATTTCAAACAGTGCCTAAACTTTCACCTAAACCAGTAACCAGTCTTATAATTCCAGTCAGTTTCTTGACACATACACACAAAGCGGTGTCAGACTATAAGGCTCTGATTTCCTCACCCTCCGCAGAACCTTAGTCAGCAGTCAAGGATGAAAGAAAAAAACAAACAATCAGAGATACCATTAAACTTGGTTCCCGTTATGCCTTAAAATGTGGAGTCTGGCTCCAAACTTCACCCCCGTCCCTCTGAAGATGTCTGCTTTAATGAAAAGCGTGAGCACGGTTACGGCTCCAAGCAATCAGCCTCAACACATACTCTTTTTAAATTGGTTTAAACTATTTTTATACTGAAAAGGAACTCTTAAGAAGGTTCTGATCAAGTGTGTAAACTAAGGACTCCAGTGTGCTTGCGGTGTACAATCAGCTCCCTTCTTTTAGCCTCGTCCTTCAATGAAGCCCACCAGTCACATAGCCTACTGTGTGAGTAACAGCGGTAACAGAGACTAAAAACTGTTATAAAATGATAAATGTAAATACATTTCTTAAAAACTCCTTACTAGTGAAAATTAGTACAAAAGCTTTTGTTGCGTAAAACAAAGTTATGAACGACCTTAGGCCTCTAAAATGTTACTACAGCAATGTAGTGAGTTTTATTTTACACTTATACATAAAGATGTGTCCTTCTTCTGTTGAAAGAAGAATAATCTAACATTTTAAGAAACACAAGATTCGTTTGAGGAAAATATGTATACACGGTCTTGTCTCTGAGCCTGACGCAGGTTAGCTTAGCTTAGCATCAACATTGAAACGGGTGTAAACAGCTAACTTTGCTTTATCTTAAGGTAATAAAATACACCTATGGGTACATTCAAAACTCACTATTCAATAAATATACAATATAACGTTTTGTTTTTCAGAAACTAAAGTGTAAGAAGCTATGCTAGCTGTTACAACTTGCTGAAACCTCCATAACATGTGACTGGTGGGCCTACAGCATTTGGGCCAAAAAACTGACCATCACAAGGGCGCCTTATAGGGGATGTGACCGGGAAGACGATCCTCTTTTAAGAATTACAAAGAAAAAGGATTAGCAAGACATCAGTAGGGTCCCATTGGTAAAGAACGGTAGTCCAAAAAACGGCTGAAATGCTGGAAACAAACATCCACCCCTGATTGTTTTGCCAAGGAAATGTCACTTGCTGTAGTTGAAATACAGAATGCCTGAGGATGTCCTTTTCCCTTCCCTGGTTGTGTCTGTTTCATACATCCTGTCCTGTGTACCAGTCTGTACGTCCTTGGTGTGTGCGAGTGTGTTTTTCCCACATCCCTTTCCCTTCTCCTGCTCCTTGATCCAAAGCTACTGGGATCAGCTGAAAATGCCATCACATGCTAAGTTAACATCTATCCAGTATAATCAGATTCTACGATGATGTGATGTTTCAGGGACGGGACCAATCAGATTGGAAAGAGTGTGTGTGTGTGTGTGTGTGTCAGCGTTAATCTTTTTTCTCTCCGTCTCGTCCGGTGTTTAAGTGTATTCTCACATGTCAGAGCCATTTACAAGTGCCTGAACGCATCCTCTTTATCTCCTTGTATTTAAATTGAAAAATTAAAGAAACAAACTCCCTGTATTGAATTAGACCCATTTTTTACGCTTAGTATTTTTACCTCTGTAAAAAAAAAAGAGCAAAAATTATATTATATATATATCAAGTGTATGTTGTACATTTTTATTTCTATTTGTTTTTTTTAAATAACTGTTTCTAACATGTACGATGGATGTAGCTCTTGCTTTGAGAAGGAACAGGAAGTACTTTGTAGATACTGAAGGGTGGCCAGGTCTGTGAGAAAACTAAAGTGAAATGTGTGTCTTACCTTCCGCCTCCAATAAAATGAGAGAAAACAGTGAAACCACACGCGTGTCTGCTGGTTTATTTTACTACTATTACTATTTTTACCTAAATGAAGGTACTTCCCCATAAATGTCTACAGTAACCGCAGCTTTTCTGCTGCATGCATTACCATTTTCTTCAATGTAACTTCTGTTTTATTCTATTCTAAGTGCATGAAATCAGCTCAATTAAGGAACAACAAGTGTTAATGGATTTCTGCATGACATAAAACTGAAAATGTAAGAAACTATAAAAGACAACCAAACAACAGGAAATGTTACATAAAATATGCCCACATTGAACGGCTGTGCTTGAGCTAAATGCTAACTAAAGAAAACTAACAACTAATAAGCTGATATTTACCCTATTGGTGCCAGATACAGGCCAAAAGTATTTTTTCAAGTTTTAAGGTTATTTCACCATTAACTTAGAGTATTGCAACACAAAGTCATGGGGTGATGCTTGAGCTACATGCTAACTTAAGCAAACGAACAATGCTAATATGCCGATATTTAAAAAGATTTATTTCGCGTTGGCATGCAAAAAAATAGCCTATTAGTGCCAAACACAAGTATAGGTTAATATGAATGCCCTTAGTTTGGAAGATATTTGATCATTAACCGAGAGTAATGTGGTGATGATATAAGCTAACTTGAGTAAACTAACAATGCTAAATTAACATTGTTTTTGCGTGTTGGCATCCTAAAATTAGTTAATTACTGCCCAACACAGACAACATGAATGTCTTCAGTTGCGAAGATATTTGGTTATTAACCAAAATATTGAAAGAAAAGGTCATGGGTTGATCAAGAAAAGGGAGAAAAGTTTTTCCAAAGTATGTTTCATCATCACTTTCTGTGGTAAAGCAAATCTAGGGGCATAGTTGTTTTAAGTAGTGTTAATCACATTTTTTGGAGGACTTGAGGTCATAAAGACCGACTCATCCAGATGTAACAATAGCTTGAAGCCATGCAAAAAGTCCCTAAAACAATCCATAATCTCTATGGAGTAAAGTAATTGCTAGAGGATGTCCTCCTTCATGAGGTGAACAAGTTCAGTCAAGGCTAAGGTTTATTGTGTTTAAAGTAATACTTCCATAGTTTAATGCCCCAAAACTCCTAAGTAATTAATGAAAAAAAGCACAAAGAGAATTCCTCAGTGGAGAACATTCTCTTCAAGATGTCTCTCCCTCCTCAGCAGGAACATGTGATAGCCATCGAGGACGTCGAGCTGTTTCACTCAGGATGTCTCTGGAAAAGCATGTGGGCGATAATGATGGAGCGCGAGAGAGGGGAGGGAGAGGGAGAAAAAAGAAGAAAAGGACGGTCCCTCAGGGCTTTTTGGGGGCCTGCTAAGCAGCTCAACGGCTGCAAACAGCATCACAGTCCACATGTGCAAACATTTAAGATATCTGCTGGTGTAATGGGGTCAGCGTGGCCCCTCTCTGTGCACGGAGCACCGGAGATCTCTTCCCACTGAAGTTTTGAGGAATGGGTGGCTCGTCCCGCACCAGTGCTGTGGTTTCATGTCCAAAGATAGGCAGAGTTCTACATTTGTTCTACATTTGCACCATGTGAGTATTGGTTATGCAACATTTGAGCCTGTTGAGTTTCTCCGTCAGGTCTGAATTACCTGATAAACTCACAGAGCAGAGATGTTGCAGTGAAGCTAGTAAAGCTTACAAGCAGCTGGATAATTGTTTCAGCATTCCCTGACTGAGATCAAACCCACCTGAGATAAACTGGGAAACATCTCTCTACTCCCACCCTGTGGAAAATGGAAAAGGATTGTTCAAAACAACTTAGCAATATAGAAAAATAAAACATGTTTTAATTAAGTCTGTTAAAAGTAATCTAAAAGTTAATTATAAGTAATTGTTTTAGCACCGACGTGTACTCAAGCATTTGCAGTTAGAGTAATGTTAGTGGTTCCTGTGTCAAAATAGTGATGCAATATCGTATGTTAATCTATCAGTTTTCAAAAAGACCCACATACATTTCTAGATTTTACTTTAAAGTGTGAAATATCTGAAAAACTTTGGTCGACTGTCATCGACACAACAATGTTCAAGTTGTCAAGTGAGCCCTACAAATATTGGCTTTGAATATTTAGGCATGAAGAAGAAGATTGTTGAAAGAAAAGTTGAGATTTTCACCTGAAAAATATCTGACGGAATGTATACCTTGAATTTGTGGAGATAAAGAAACTATTCAAGCTATCAGATGAAATACTGTAAATCAATTGAGTATTTCCTTCTGAGATGTAATATCTAAAGTCCTTTAAAACTGCACCACAGTGCTTTGTCCTCTGTTGAGAGGCGGTGATGCGTGTTTGTGCTCTGATGGGGAGGAAACTTCAAACGGGGCTTCAGAGGTAACAGTTCAGGGTTAAGAGGGAAGTGGCAAGAGTCGAGGGATTAAAATGGAACAAGGCCGGAAGAGTCAGGGTGAGATCTTTATTTCAGGCTCGGAAAGAGAGCCTCTTCCTCTGGTGGCGCCAGTCCTCTGCCACTGTTCCATTTCCTCTTCCTCCTTCTGCTCTGTGGCTCTGTCACCTCCGTACCTCCATCCTTTAGTTTAGTTATCTGTCAACTCCTTCTATCTCACCTCCAGCTCTCTGCAAAGACTGAGAAGAACTCATTCATCACTAAAAGAGCAGAAATGGTAATCGGTAAATTGTGCAACATTTGATGGACGCGTGTTCTCAAATCTTCAACCTTTCTTTTGTTTTTCATTATAGTAAACAATATGAAATGAAACTGTAGGACTTTGGGATTTTGCATCATGTTTTTGAGAGTTGCAGCCAAAAGACATACAACTTCAGTTCATTTTTTAAAAGGCATGGTTAAAGGTGGGGTAGGTAATTCCCTTCAGAAACACTTGTTATATTCCATGGAATGCTCTTAACATCCCGATAGCAATGAAAACATTAATTGCTTTGACAATAAATACATTAAAAAATGTCATCTGTGGAAGCCGTGTCGCTGTAAAAAGCACGACCAATCATCTGAGCCAGCCCGGCTAAAATAACTGGATGGCCTACCTGCCTGTCAAACTTATCTCGTGCCCTCATTGGTCATGTGCGCGTTCTTGTGTGTTGGAGGAGGGGCTCTGTAAGGAAGTCGGTTGGGTACTTTCACATTCTAGCGCACTCGAGCTGGTTTCTCCATTCTTACCTACCCTACCTTTAAGGAAATGTTCTAAAATCTAACCTAAATTGCACATTTTACTCTACTTGACCTAAAATCCATTCTGAAACATCTTAAAATCCATCATTTAAAGGTGGGGTATGTCATTTATTTCAGAAACACTTTTTGTTAGGCTATCCATGGAATGCTCTTAACATCCCGATAGCAATAAATATATTAAATGCTTTGACAATAAATACATAAACAAATGTCACCTGTGGAAGCCGTAGCGCTGTAAAAAGCACGACCAATCGTCTGAGCCGGCATACTCTTTTCCTCTCCAGTTTGATGTTAAAATGTTCAGTTAAAACGGTTAAAACCGGTTAAAACCATAAGGTAGGGTAGGTAAGAATGGAGAAACCAGCTGGAGAGCGCTAGAATTTGAAAGTACACAACCGGAAAAAATCTGCCTCTTCCTTCAGACTTCCTTACAGAGCCCCTCCTCCAACACACACGAACACGCACATGACCAATGAGGGCACGAGATAAGTTTGTGCACAGATGGAAGGCTGACAGGCAGGTAGGCCATCCAGTTATTTTAGCCGGGCCCACCTTTAAAACCTGTATCACTATCAAACCTCTGCTTCATTAAAGTGGACCTATCATGCTATATTTGAATAATATAGTGTAGGACCATACCTATATAAGGCATATTTATACTTTTTATTTTTCAAAATACCAAACAGATCATGCATTTTAGCCATTCCTCATTTCGCTCAATTTAACACTGTCTTTGCATGGGCTGATTCTGTGAGAACAGCACCACCTACAGGCCTGGCATATGTACTACAGCGTCTCCAGCGCTTTCCAACGGCAATGTCCGTGGCTGTCTCCTCCTGATTGGTGGAGTTGGCCCAATAGCCGTAGCGCCACTTCTGTGACGTCATAGAAGTGTTCAAATCTGG